GCCGAGAGGGCCACACTGGTCTTTCTGTTCCATTTCACTTTTTTGCAAGCACGACAAGGTAAAGGATCTCTGTTGCCAAAGTCAATATTTCACATCTGTGCACAGGGGGCAGGTTTCATGGCGCCGGCAGGAGCTTTGATAATATTTCTATTCCTGGGTTGGTGACAAACTGCCTTCTATTCTGGGTCCCACCAACACATAGGTTCCATTTCAGTCTCAGATGGCTGCCTTGGGCCTGGGTGGGCCAAATGGCTCCATCATCTTCAGTGGAGCTCTTTCGTCAATACAGTTCTTGAAAGGCCTGGCTGTGAGGGCTAAGTGGGTGAATGGAGAAGTGTAAACATACAAGTCCAGTTGCTCAATTTAGGTGGCCTACAAGTTTCTCACATACAATCTCCTTCTTGTCTTTCTCCACCTGGCTCAGAGCTTGTGTTCAATATTAATGAACTCCTCCTTGCCTCTGTAATTGACTGTGGCGCTGTTTTCGAGGAGTTTTGGCAAGACAGAGAGAAAGGGAATGTGAGGGATGGGGGAGACAGGGGAAAAAAAGCAATAACACAAACTAACAGGGTGAGAGGAACAAGCTTCTGAAACCACATCCTTCCCTGAAATAGAGATCATATATTCATCTGGATCCACGCAAGGCTGGACAAGACACCATTACAGCAAAGAGACCAAAGGCATGGGGGGTACTGATATTTTGTGGCACCAGGGAAGGAGATATGGGACTAGGTGAATAGCCCTGGGACTAGGATGGGATTTTCTGCAAAGATGAAGTGAGGAGTAAAATGCATACCAAGCTGCCTCCTTCCCCATTGCCTCTTTCCTCTTCATACATTAGTTTATTTATACAGAAATGAGGCAGAAAGCCCCAACTCCCTTCCTACAGTCCTGAGTGCCTGAGTTTGAGCAAGCTGTTCAGTGTGGATCAAGAAAGCCCATACTGACAAACAGGGTCTCCAGTTCTGCTCAATGGGCTCATTCACTAGCTGTGATGAATTCATTGGTTCTGGCACATTAGCAGGCAGCTGGCCTTTTTCAGTGGGCCACTAAGACTTCTGGAGCAGGGTAGGATTCACACCTGCTGGTGGTCTATTTGCTTATAAGAGGCAGCAGGGGAAGGATTTTTGAGTCCATACTTTTTAATCCACAAGGACTCATATTATGGGCCCATTCCTAGGTCAGAATGGCCCTACAGGTACAGATGCTCCGAGCGGTTCCTTTCTGCCTTCTATATACTAGTCTGCCCGCTGGGTTAGTATTTTTGTGGGAATCTGAAATCAGGCACAGTTATATCCTGGTAGGTATTTACAAAGCTTTATAGACATTAACTGTAAAATGCTGATAGTAGTAGAGTCACCTTCAGTATCATTGGCAAAACTCTAGAATCCAGAAATCTGTTGTGTACTTTGTTTTCCAACACAGGGACTCAATAGGAATTACTAAGTTGCATTGTATTTCCCTTCTGCCACTGAAACTGCAGAGATGCAGGAGGAATTGATACATGCATGCAGTAGCTTTTTGCAGCATCAATGCAACAAAAGGCTTACACCCAATCAGAATCTTTATGGTGGAGCTTGGAATAAGCAGATTCTGGAAAGGATTCTGCTAAAGAATAACAAATATTAAATTATTAGTGAAGCTGGAGGTTCTGTCTTTCTCAGCCACAAGTTATAACCATCAAATACTGTATACGAACAAAGCACATAATAAAGGACTGAAGTGTAAGAACATTTAATATACTTGAAAGATGTAAGCTCTTTACAGCTGGATGCATGGGTCTATAACTAAGTGGGGAAAAAACAAATGTGGAATGTTTGTGTAGGAGCCTATTAGCCTTTGCTCACCTACAGGGAGATTTTCCAATTGGTAATTTGTATCATGTGACTGACTGACAACATGATACAAGTACCTAGCCTATTGCTATATCTTGTTTTGAGTACTGTAACCTGTTGGCAACACTCGACCTGGATACCACCCAGCCACACAGGTTCAAAATTCCTGGTGGGTGGTATAAATGTGTGGGTTCTATGACTCAGCTTTGTTTATGCCCACATCCTTAATGATTCTGTGTCATTCTATTTTAAGTTCCATCCCTTCCAATAATAATGTCTTCCAATGCCAATGATTCCCAGGCTTTTAGCCAAGGAAACCCATCAATATATTGTGGTCCTGATTTAGCATTCAACTGCCAATTTTAAGTATTGGCCCCAAACCAAAGCCCTTGTATCATCTGAAACACCCGCTGCTTGCTGGCAGTTGACAACCTACCACAATCTTTTGAGTCCCAGTTAGCCTTTGGAATGGCTTTGTGGTTTAAACAGGATTGGCATGGATCAAGCAAAGGATGCTAGACTTGCTTCTCTACATACGTTTTCAGGCCTCTTCTCCCAAGAAAGCAAGGAAGAAAGCTCATCTTTCAGAAACTCTGTCAATTATATTATAGATTAATTACAATGCTTTGGCAGAAAAAAAAACCTATGTAAGAGCTGTTGACATCTGAAGAAAAGGCCTCCAAGTAATGGTAGAAGCTAGTATGATCCATATTGAGAAAAATCACAGGAACAGCAATACTTGACATTTGGGTCATCCTCTGTTCAAGCCCTATTGCTAACCACAATGATTTAGAAAAGTGCCAAATCTCTGCAGCACAAGGCAGGTGTGATACTGCTTTAGTGTGGTCTCATTTTAACTCTCAATAGCTGTCTGGAAACACTTAAAGGAGACCTGAATACCCTCCAGCATTAGCTATTCCAATTCTAATCTTGCTGTTCATTAAACTGTCCCAAACCATGATATTTTTTTTTCTTGGCTACTCTTGAGGAACCTCAAGTTGAGCAAGCTAATCACTCACTGTAGATCTGTATGGGCAGAATGATCTTGTAAAATACCATTTTTACTAAATACTATAATGATTTTTCGGTCCTATTCAAAGATTGCCTGATCATAGGGGAAATGGGACACTTTTTTTTAGGTACCAGCTGTCTTGGTCATATAGAGTTCAATAAATCCATTCTAGTATTCTGGACCATTGGTTATTGATGGGTGCTAAGTATTCATGCTGCTGCTACAAATGGACAAGCAAAGCAAAGATTTGGATAATTCAGGAAACTGAATTCTGGTTCTGTCTTAAGCAAAAGCAGCTGGCTGATTTTTGCTCAGTCGTTCTGTCTCAGCCATAGGAAGAAGGCGATGGTAAACCACTTTCAAAAATCTTGCTAAAAAAACTGCAGGGACTTATTCAGGCAGTTGCTAGGAGTCAACATTGATCCAAAAGCAAAACAAACAAAAACACCACAAACCCCTGAGATTATGATTATATAAACAGGGATGTTTCTGTGAGAAAATATTATCCATAGGAGTAAATTAAAGGCCAGCAACTGGACCGCTATAACCAGTTCAGCCATCAGAAAAAAATCCCCAATATTTCCCCCAGAATAAACTAAGCAATTCAATTTTACTTGTATGAAATGTTGCAACTGGAATGACAGAAGCACAGTCAATTACAAAAGTACTTCATTTATTCTGATCATAATACTGAGAATTTTTCTGATTTTAAAACTGGGCAAAAGTAAATGATCGGACCATTGTATAGAAATGACTAGGGGGCAGAGGGATGTCATAGAAATCTGGCTGGATATTTCTTACAAAATCCTGTGTCCTATAGAAAAAAAACATTACAACAGAACAAGCATTTTCCTAATAAATGTAAACATTCACAGACGTCTGTATATAATGATATTGCAATCATATACGAAGGAGTGTTTGTTATGCAGACTTCCATGCTGCCCTCTGATCTATTGATAAAAATTGGGTTTGCAATGTTGTGCTTTTGGAAAATGAAATAGAATAAGCTAAAACATCCATAATATGAATGAATGGGCTAAAAAATTTGTAGATTAATGTGGCTCTGGAAGCTGCTAATAAGAGACGACTAGGTTATATTATCTTAATAGTGCAAGTGGTCTATACTGATGTACGTGCAGGACTGAGTTTTAAGCCGATAACAGAGGGAACCAAAAGGATTAGCAACAACTCATGTCTGTTGCACCTGTTGTAGCATCTCTTCAGTCCTTGGAAAACTCTTGTTCAGCGTAAGATAAAAAAAATTCTCTCCAGCTGCCCACCACACTGACTGTAGTATATAACCACTTGCCCCGTGTCATTGCTATAAATTACTTTTCAGAAAAAGGAAATGCAGAAGCACAAACAACTTGGGCAGGGGAGGAGGGGGATAAGAGGCCTTATTTCTCATCCCTTCACCCAGCTGGATTGGAATGGGCTACAGCTGGGAATAGAGGAAGCAACACTGGGGAAAATGGCCCGCTGAAACCCTATCCCCAGTGGGATGGCAGGGGCTACAATTCCTTCTCAAGATCTCTTGTGAAACTTTAAACCCAGTAGATGGCTTGGGGGGGTGGGGGGGCTAGGGAGGAAGAAGAGAGACAGCTGCAGTTACCTCCTGGGGGTGATCCTGTGTTTTCTGCCATAGTTCAGTGGTGGAAGGGAAGCATAGAAAGTAGGATATTTAACAGGAGAAAGGGGATACAACCAGAAGGAATATACATTTTAATGTTTCCTCAAAATACCTTTGTTCTACTTCTTGGTATGTTAGATCTTCTGGAATTGTAAGCAGAGAAAGGGACTCCTTTTGATATTTGATGGGCTTTGACCAATCACTAGGGAGACACTAGGGTGGCTGTTTGGCCTGGAAGGGGGGGGGGCGGACTAGTTCCACTGGGCTTTGCGGTATCCTGAGACAGATTCCCAGGCTCTGAAAGAGTGACCAGTTGCTAGATCAATTTCGGGGAGATGTTGGTAGTGGAGTTCATGGTGGCTTAAATGGAACAGCAGCTAATGCAGAACAGATGTTATGCATGAGCAAACCTCGTAAGAATGGACACTCCACCATTAGCCTTTCCATACTATTGTGTAATACACAGGTGCACATGCTATGTGTGCAAGCAACTCACACAGATGCAAGTGAATGAGTTTAGTCCTTTTTGAGCTCAGATCCATTTCTTTATAAAACACAGAAACAGCTGAATTTCTAAGGGCTGGTATAAATCTCACCCATCTCCTTAACTTTTGTCTCCAAACTGAATTCCGCCTAGCAGAGAGCGTCCAGTTAAACAAAGCATGTAAACTCTTTCATGGCACAAAGATGGCTCTCACTATAATACCTCTGCCTCCATCTTCCTGCAACCTGGTATACTCTGGATGAGAATGCTCAGCACAACTGTGTTGGCAATGGATACTGCAGGGAGTTCCACATCTGGAGAGTGCCAAGTTGGGGAAAGCTATTATTGAATAAGTTGAGCATGCTACATCTGAAACTTCCCTGTACTCTCCTTTTATGTTTCCCAACAAATGATGAACTTTTGGCAAAATTGCAAAATTTAGGAATACTGTGCTTAGGGATGACCTGACAAAACATCTGGCCTGGATGTCAAATGTGAAACATGGAACCTGCTAAATACTGTATGATGTCAGGCCAGAAACAAAGGGTCTTGTGGCCTTTAAGAATCACAAAATTGTTGGAGCAAAAGATTTGATGAATTATGCTCCACTTCCTTAGTTAAATAGCTGAAGATAACAACTCCTTCACTGGATCATTTGGGTTATGTTCACAAAAGCTCATGCTATAATAAATATATTGGAATTTGAAGTGCCACTGGATTCTCTATTGCTTTAGGTACATTAGACTAACTGTATTCTGCCTTGAAAAATCCAATCAACTTCTCTTCTACAGATCGTGGAAGGGAAAATCAGATTATGGCTAATTGTTAAAAAGGGAATTTAGACACACAGTGCCTTCCTTTCTAAAGCTTCACGGATATTCATTTATACAAGAACCAAATTAAATTGCAACATTTGAACTTTACATAGCAATTTAGACATACCATCTGAGGCCAGACTAGTCTAGCAATCATTTCAACAGGAGATGCAGGAAAAAAAAAAACACCTCCAGGCAGAGGTTCTACTCCAAAAAAATAATTTATGGGTGTGGGTAATTCATGTGCATTAGAAGTGATATGTACATAAATATTTATCTCTAGGGTTATGTACAGAGGACATCAGGAACCAGAAGGAAAGGTCCATGTCCTAGGTAGGACATCCTTGTGATGGTGTCTCCAGATAAGGATGGGACTGCCTGAGAAAGCTGGCTGGCTGACTCCTGCCAAATCATGAAGTCTTTTTAAAGTATTATTAAATTGGGAATGTATCAGAAAAAGAAGCAGGATACCCAGTGATGCTCCTAAGAGCTCCTGCAGTTAGAGAGTGCCCTTCTCTCCAGGACTAAGTTACTTCCTATTAATCTGGTCTTACTTATCTTCAGTCAGCTGGCTGCATTGAAGGCTCAGCTAGAGCAACAGCTTTGAGGGGTCCTGAGATTACAGGGTATTGAAGCATCGTGCCTGGAGCATCCGTAGACACGTGTAAGGAAGCCATCTGGTTCTTGTTGATGAACTTTGGACAGTAGATGTCCAGCAGATTCCAGAAGCTTGATGAGACTTTTAGTTCTTGCTAATATAGCTCCAGGCAGTTTCTTCAACCAGGGACATTCTGAGAACTTAAGTTCTCAAACTGTGTAATCCTTTAGGAATGAAGGGGGGGAAAAAACCCAAAAATGCCACTTTCCCTAGTGTCCATGGTCTGTCCCCCTCCTCATGTCCTTACATTGTGATAAGGAAAAAGGCAAGGAGTGATTGGCAAAGGATCATGGGTGAAGACTGAATCATCAGAGGAACAGGTGCTAGTTGTGTCTTCACAGGATGGGGAATACTGTTCAAAAGGCATTGACAGGTCCAGATACTGAAAAGAAAAATACACAATCAGCATTCAAAGGGATAAAGGCAAAATTGCTACTTTTTTGTTGCCAATAACCAGCTGTTTATATATCCTCAGTGGAACCATCCCCTAGGAGTTCAAACCTACCTCATCAGAGACAGCAACCAGGACTTTATCCAATCCCTCCACTAACTGCTTAAAGGTGGGTCGTTGGGAAGGCACAGCGTGCCAGCATTCTCTCATCATCATGTACCTATTTTGGAAAAAGAAAAACCTCAGGCTTCTATTTTCCCCTAGAGCAGTGTTTCTCAACCTTGACAATTTTAAGGCATGTGGATTTCAACTCCCAGAATTCCACAGCCAGCAATGCTGGCTGTGGAATTCTGGGAGTTGAAGTCCACATGCCTTAAAATTGTCAAGGTTGAGAAACACTGCCCTAGAGTGTAGTCTATGGGACACAGATGCAATGCATCTGGAAGACGACAGGCTGGGAAATGTGGCTTCAGGAGGCCCAGTGCTACTTACAGTTCATGGGTACAATTGGAGGGCTTGTCCATTCGGTGACCTTCTTTGAGAAGTTTGAATAGTTCTTCCACTGGGATGCCAGGATAGGGGGAGCCACCCAGTGTAAAAATCTCCCACATGAGAATCCCAAAGGACCACCTTAAAGTGAGGAAAAGAGGCAGAGAGAAGGTGAGAAGGCTATAAAGATTTTCAGAACATATATATATTTGGAAAGCAATCCATGGGGCAAGCAAACCTCAGAAGAGATCCTTCACAATGAAATGTGGAAAACTATTACAGATATTTATCAAAAATTATTTGGGACCATAAATGACAGATGCGGTAAATAGAAAAGTATCCAGCATGCATCCATCCAGGGTGGAAATAAAAATGTATTTCAGGGAGGAAGTGACTTTATACTGAATAGATTGATTACGGGTAGTTTGATGGACACATTGCTCTGGCTTTGCGATGAAAACTTTGATTCATGTACTAGGAACATGAGGGAACTGATATATAATAGACTCCAATTATTCTCCATATTTCTAAAATACTCAGGGGAGAGTTGCAATATGTTGTATTAGAGGCACAGTAAATGTGCAAAAAGTCCCCTCTTCAACCATTTCCATGGACAGCTGTTTGAAACTCTAAAATGGGTTACAGCCAGTCTGTGTAGCAATTGTGGATTTAGACAGACCCAGTGCTTTTTTTGTTAAAAAAAAAAAAAGATGCCAGAACTCACATACGTCATACAACCAGCCTTGCCTACCCTGCAAGGTTCCATACAAAAAAGGTGCCGGAACTCCGTTCTGGGCGTTCTATGACAAAAAAAAGCCCTGGATAGACCAATAGGTTTTTTTTTTTCAGATAAGGCAGATTCCTCTGTTTTTTAATAGGTGAAAAAAATCAAAGAGATGTATCTGAAACAATTTGCAATATTTATCTATAGGTGTGCAAACTTTAGATTTGATCCCCACAAGCTGATGGGAACAAGAGAATAAAATTTATTTACAACATCCTAAACAGTTATGCCTCTTTTCCCGGGACTGTATGGCAGAAGCTGCAATATCTTAAGACACCTGTTTTAAAATGTTGCAGACAGATGCTAGACTTGCACTCCAAAACACTTTTTGGAAGCATATCCAAAATATTACACAGCACTAGTCAGTACTAGGCACATTTCTATAGGATGATTAGATAGTGAGAACCATCTCATCTTGCATACTCGTACTTACACATCACTTTGGTGTGTGTACACTCTGTCAAACAGAGCTTCTGGTGCCATCCATTTTACAGGCAAGCGACCCTGCAGGTAAACAAAGGAAGCTGTCAGTTCATTGCTGCTTTTTTTTTTTTTTTTTGAGTTACAGAGCGGCTCTCACAAGTTTTCTCCTTCTCCTTCCAATGAATAGTATTGGTACATACCATATTGTCCCACAACTCTTATCAAATCTTTTATTTTTAAAATTACTTTCTATACTTCAAAAGTACAGGTAAGTCCTTATTTAGCGACAATTGGGACCAGTAACTCCATCGTTAAGCCAAGCTTATAAACTTAGTTCAGTTTTCTTTTGCTTTATAGACAGGGAAAGTGATAAACGTTGAGAGCTGGTCGTAGAGTTGTAGAGTTGCTTTTTCATCATCATGGTAACTGTGAACTGTTGCTAAAGGAGGCAGTCGCTAGATGAGGACTCCCTGCAGAATCAAATAAACTTCACTGATAGATACTGTGGTACTTTGTTTCCCTACCATTGTCCCTGTTCCTCTTAAAAATACTGCCAGTTGCCTAGATAGCCAGATCTCATTGGTGGTTCTGGCAGTGGAGAGTCACATTAACGGCCATCTTTTTCAGAACAGTCCCCATCCATTGTCTTCCACAAGGCCATCATAAAGGCATCCTAATACACAGTCCTTGCATTGACAGAGCACTGGAAAGGTTCCACTGCATCACTACTCTTGTCTCCATTGGCCAGGCAGGAGCCAATGGGCATGGCACGGGCAGTGTCTGAGCGTATTCTGTGCTTCTGGGGCTTGATGGTAAGTGGTATAATGGAAAAGCTTGCTTATCCAGCCACACTCTGTTTCTTTTCTTGTAGGGCTACTGCATGTAGGCAAAACTGGCCAGTTTGCTGGGTTTAATGTTCTAATGACATGAGTAATTGGATGGAACTGGTTTAATCTTACGCGAGACTGGCTTGTTTCAAAATAAATAAATCTAGAAAAAAATCCCTTGGGTTTAGATGATTAGATCAACTTACCCCTTCGTGCTATTTTTTATATTTTAGGGACTGAGGTACTTAAATATTCTTAATTTACTTATATTTTTCCCTATGATGCTTTGCATTTCCAAAGCACCTGAGCAGCAACTAGACCCTTTTCCAACCCTGCGGCCATCAAATGGTCTTTTCACTCACATTGCTGGTTTTCTTATAATAGTCTATATCATGAACTCCACGGGCCAAGCCAAAATCAGCAATTTTCATCACATTCTCTTCAGTAACAAGAACATTGCGAGCAGCCAGGTCCCGATGAATACACTGGAAGGAAAATGAAAGAGCTGCATCAAACTCCAAGGACTCTACTATAACCTTGATGTCATCGTAGATTAGCTTATTACGCCTTCTAACATAAACATGATAAGCAGGGATTTTTTTACATCTTTCTAATTCCCTTCTTTTCAGGCCTGATATATACAACACTCTGTTTTTATCCTTGGATCTCAGGCAATTCAACAGCAAACTTAATATGGAGTGGAATGAAGATGCCAGAGGATATAATCAAGTATCAATCTATATAATTTTTCTGGACCAAAGAACATATTTGGTCTTATGCCAAGAAGTAGTCTCATTCCCCAAAGTGGTTGGATACGAGAATTTAATTGAACTTAAAATTAATTAGAACTAAATAATATTACTCCTTATGTTTTTAAATTTCTCCTGTCACAATAAAAATGATAATTTAGTCACCCTTTTGGGAAGAATATTGTGTGCCCAATCTAGAATAGAATAGAATAGAGCTGAAAGGGACCTTGGAAATCTTGTAGTCCAGCCCCCTGCTCAAGCAAGAGATCCTATACCATCTCAGACAAGTGATTGTCTAGTCTCTTAAATATCTCCAGTGATGGAGCACCCACGATTTCTGGAGGCAAGCTGTTCCACTGGTTCATTGTCCTCACTGTCAGGAAGTTTCTCCTTAGTTCTAGGTTGCTTCTCTCCTTGATTAGTTTCCAACCATTGTTTCTTGTCCTGCCCTCTGGTGCTTTGGTGAATAACATGGCCCCCTCTTCTTGGTGGCAGCCCCTCAAATACTGGAATACTGCTATCATGTCTCCCCTATTTCTTCTTTTCTTTAGACTAGCTAAACCCAAGTCCTGTAGCCATTCTTCATATGTTTTAATCTCCAGGCCTTTAATCATCTTAGTTGTTCTTCTCTGATTTTTTTCCAAACTCTCAACATCTAAAGCTTTTGTGGCTGTGAGCTGAAATTATGCATTTCTGGATCAGAGCTGACCAATACACCCAAGAGGGTTTCTTGGAGCACCATCATGATAGACGACAATGGCCACTATCTGGCTAGATCCCTCTTACCCGCTTGGACTCCAGGTACTCCATGCCACGGGCTACTTGGTAAACACAAGAAACCAAGTCTTTGAAGGAAAGCTGCTCCTCTGGCATCTTGGTAATATCAAATGTGTAATCAGGTGTCGGAGGTCGGCGGGCTCGCAGATACTCCCGCAAATTCCCCTTGGCAGCAAATTCCACAATCACATAGAGAGGACCTGTAGTTACATAGTGTGATGGTATCAAAAAATGTCTCCAAAATATCTTAACTTCTGCTCCCAATTCCACTGAGAGCCCGTGTTCAAGTTTGGCATTCTGTCAGATCCTACAGTTGCGATACCTAATTTTCCCCCAATGAGTTCTGCTTCGTTCCAACTGAGTCATCCTTTCTCAATCCTTTGCCTCCCAAACATCCTTTCCCTTCCCGCAATGCCCACTGTGCTTTCTGTCTCCTCGCCAGAAATGAAGTCACTCACCATCTTGGGTACAGACACCCAATAGGTTGATGATATTCTTGTGTTGGTCCATCAGTTTCATCATCTCCATTTCTGAAATGAGGTCAGCCAAGTCTTTATCTGTAGCATTATCTAATAAGGGAAAGAAATAAGCTTATATGATTCTCGAAATGATATGAAGAGCTACGTATTTAAGAAGACCACCAATAATGAAAGGACAGAAGTGAAAAGGATGCGGCTTTGGGCCCTATAAAGTACATTTACCTTTCAGCATTTTAACAGCAACAGTGAGAGGACGCTCTGGCCGTTCTGGATCAATCCCATAAGCTTCTGCTCTCACCACCTGCCCGAAACAGCCCTCCCCTAAGGGCTTGCCTAGCACCAGCCTAGGAACAAAAAAGACAACTTCAGAAATGGGAAGATGTGCCAACATTAACAAGGTGCTGCAGGGCTGCAACCTTGATTTAAAAAAACCAACTAAATAGATTGTAAGTGTTGTGTCTTAGGCTGATTTATGAGTTACTAAAGTCACAATGGATCCTTTTAGCCATGGAATATTATTCTTCCAGATGTCAGACTAGTGCGGATATTGACTACCTTTCAATAACAAGTATGGGTAGTCCTCAACTTACAACAGTTCATTTAGTGACCGTTCAATATTATGTCACTTAAAAAAGTGACTTATGACCATTTTTCACACTTACGGCCATTGCAGAATCCAGATGATGATGTGGTCAAAATTCATACAGTTGGCAACTGACTCATATTTATGACAGGATCATGTGATCCCCTTTTGTGACCTTCCGACAAGTGAAGCCAATGGGGAAGCCAGATTCATTTAACAACCATGTTACTAACTTAACACCTGATTCACTTAACAACTGTCTCGTTTAGCAACATTTATTTTGGACTCAATTGTGGTCGTAAGTCAAGGACAACTGTAGCAATTCCTTTTCAATAGCTTTCAATTAACAGATGGTCCTATATGCCAGAAAGGAGTGACTGAAGGGCAATTTTGACATGGACAAATGTGGCATATCTGATTGCCTTGGGATAATTGTGATACTTGAGTTTTTTGTCTGCTGCACACTTTGTTGAGGAGCAGTGTTTCACAAGTGAACATTCAGCTGTAATCCTAGACATCTGGGAGGCCTTAGCTTGTGGAAGTCTGTTGTAAAATGAAGATGGCAGCTTTGGCTCAATTCACATAGACAGGAATAATATATGCTTACATCATTTAACTGGCAACACAGATGTGTAACAAAGCAAGTGTGCCATATTCCTTCTTTATTTGTTCTGAATGAGGTAGTCATTTTGGGACTATCATGTTACCAATAATTACTAAGTTCTCTCTTTGTACGAACATAGAAAACTTTAGTCTGTGGATATCTTGATATAAAAAACTTGGTAACAGCACAAAATGTAGGAACCAGCTCCTTGTAGTAGAATAAATAGACACCTTGATAAGGAATTATAGGTATTTTTTTTCCATTTTCCATCTTTTAACAGAGCTTCAGTTTGTTAAGATATTGTAAAAGTAGCTGTGCTTCTCCAGTAGCAAATGCAGTAAAAACCCACCTCCTTATATGCATACCTGTCCCGTGGGAATTCCCACTTGGAATCCAGTGGCAGTTCCACTTCCATAACCCCAGCTAGCATGGGAGTACAGCTTGAGGAGAGGCGAGTAACACGCATTAGTGATGTTGTGGACTTCCCTGAGGAGCTTGATTCCAAGGAGAACTATGAGGCAAACCAAGGACACATTAGATTGGTCCCTGAACGTGGTTCTGTTCCAGAGCAGCAACAGACTGGACACAAGTATGATAAGATTCAAGTAACAAAATGCTGCAGGTGACATAGCAGAATAGATACATCTCATACACTTTGCAAAGTCCATCTAGTAATATTCTGTCTCTCCACAACTGGTCTGACTCTTAAATGAGGTCTACACATAGGAGATCAGCAGATCTACCTTAATAGATATTGAGAGATCTTTTGGGAGCCCTTAATGATGTAAGGAACTTGTATTTTACAATCATTTGATGTACCACAGATCCCTGTTGTTTACAGTCAACATCCATATTTATACAGGTAGTCCTCAACTTACAAAGTTCATTTAGTGACCATTCAAAGTTACAATGGCACTGGAAAATGTGAATTATGACTGTTTTTCATAGTTATGACCTTTGCAGCATCCCCAAGACGATGTGATCAAAATTTGGACGCGTGGCAACCGACTCATATTTACGACGGTTGCAGTGTCCGGGGGGTCACACGATCACCTTTTGTGACCTTCTGACAAGCGAAGTCAGTGAAGAAGCCAGATTCATTTAACCACCAGGTTACTAACTTATCAACTGCAGTGATTCACTTAACAACTGTGGCAAGAAAAGTCGTAAATTGGGGCAAAACTCACTTAACAAATGTCTCACTTAACGACAGAAATTTTGGGCTCAATTGTGATTGTAAGTCGAGGACTACCTGTAAATAGCTTTACTCATGATTGGGGAACTTTTAAAATTAATTCAGTGATTAATTGCCCTCTTACTTTGGTAGATCAATGTTTCTGCTACATACCTGTCGGATAAGAGGAAATTTGGAGAGTTTGTGCACAGCCATTGGTTCCAGAGGCTGCTTGCTTGGCTGAATCTGCATGTGGCATAAAACAACAATGACAATAGCCATGGCAATAGCTAAAGACCCTGAAGTGTAGATAATTATGTCAGTGTACTTGATTTCAGGGGCATATACTTCTTCAACTTCTTCTTTATCTGCAAAGAGCAAATAAATCTTCAGTTAATTAATTCTACAGTTAAATTAACATTGAACACTGTCAATACCTGAATACGTTTCTGGAGATGTTAAAGCAGAGGAAAAAATATTGAATTATTTAGTGTGGTTGGTCTCCTTCGAAGACAGCTATTTGGAACGGCTGTCAAAGCCATATATAATTCTCTGCTTCTGTTTAAGAGCGTGATCTTGCATAATAAATTATCTACAAATCTATATTTTAAGGAAAACTCCAAAATGTGCACATATTCATATGACATTTATTATTGCTGCCAATCATTTCTTGGCAAATGTATTTAAAAGGCCCAGATATATGTTCACATTTAGATTTTATTCTTTTCAGTTTCAATCATGAAACTGGCAGAAAAACAAATTCATAACTAGCTATACTGTTTTCCACATTAAAAATATATTCTTTATTCATATAACAACATCATGTCTTATCACATTTCCTTTGTTGTCATATTATTTTTCAATTTTTTCAAAGTTGTTTCTTATCAGAAAGGTGCCTGGCAATGTATGTGTGAACGTAGTCTATGAATGAATGATTTGGCTCATGCCTCAATTAGAGATGAAATGAATTTGAAAGTTCCTTCAAAGATACACTGATTGTAAGTTGGGCTGCCTTTGCCGTTCTCATGATGCTGTATGGAGTCAGATAACTTTTGTGGTGGTTTGCATTTAACAAGGTGAATATAAGCGGGTTGTTGTTTCATGTCAGTATAATTTGTTAGAGGGTTGGTTCTGCACTGGGTGGTGATGTCCTTCCTGCCTTGGGGGCTGTCATTGTAATGTTTTCCTGAGATTTCTGAAGCAAAGGTTCAGAAGTATGACCATTATTGGATATGTTAAGCTGCAAATGTCCATTTCTTTTTTTTTCTTTCTTTCTTTCTTTCTTTCTTTCTTTCTTTCTTTCTTTCTTTCTTTCTTTCTTTCTTTCTTTCCTTTCCCTTCCTCCCTCCCTCCCTTCCTTCCTTTCTTTCTTGTTTCCCGCCCATCTCGCTGTGAGCAATGTTCTTGGTGTGGCCAATCATCTGACTCCCTTATGGTTCCCAGAGTTTTAGGCAGTCAAAACCTTCCTCTTGTCTATCAGCAGCATCCAGCTTTTTATTCTTTGAAGTTTCTGGGTGGGGGGAGGAATTTGGATCTGCTCCAGGAGACTCTATGTTGATAATGTGCATATCTAGATTCCATAGGTCAAGAGGAGGGGGGCTGCCAAGCCAACAGGCCTTTCCTTAAAGCAGAGGTGGGGAACGATGGCCCCTTTATGACTTGTGGACTTGGCTGGGTCAAGAATTCTGGGAGTTGAAGTCCACAAGTCATAAGAGGGCCATCATTCCCCACCCATTCCTGCTTAAAGTGATAGCAACTGCCTTGGATAGTTGGTAAAATCAAGTCAATTAGAGCTTTGGCTACTTTACATGTTGCCACTAGAGTGTCTCTCAAATTATCCAATCTTTTAATAATATCAGCTTAATCTGACAGGGCACAAAAAAAGTTAATCAGATTTCTTTTTTAGAAGGTCATCTGTGCACTGTCTTGCTGAAGGTTGAGCAAACTGTTTGCCTGAGCCCTAATATCTTGAGGGCAGAACTGGTTAAATGGCCTTGGGGTTATCTAAAGTTGAGTGTGTGTGTGTCTGTGGGTCTGTGTGTTTTGTACTCTGTTCCTATCAAGAGTATAGTTTTAACAAAGTGACCACAAACAGCTTTCTTACAAGCCTGAAATGTGCTATCCCTCTTTGTTCCTCACCTGGAAGCACAGTAAGCCAGGCGGATTGGTAGGACAAGCCGATAGAATTTCCAGCCAGGCAGGTGTATTCACCAGCATCCTCCATGGAGACATTCTGCAAGTAGAGGACCTCCACTTCTGAGCTGTTAATATCTGCTGTCTACCAGGGTGAATGTCAAACAGAAGCAAAAAATAGACCAATGTTAGTGGTGAGCAACACAAGAGAGTTGTCCAAGAAACTCTTCGGTTGAGGAATAATTTGCTCGCTTCTAATATTATATAATAATGATCTAATATTATTTCAGTTCATCCCACCTGGTCAGGCAGGGAAAGTTTGTTTCACACCTCATCAACCAAAGAATTCCAACTGGTAGGATTCAGGAGGAGAGCCTTCTCTGCCACTGCCTTCTGGAATATTCTCTCCCCCAGGGGTGAGGTGGTCTCTCACTCTCCTGGCCTTCCGGAAAAGACATGAAAACATAGCTCTATGGCCTTGGGTGGATTGTACAGAGGAGCACAGAACTGTCAGGCAGGTTAGCACCTCAAAACCCCTCCCTTCGCCTTTTCATTAATGTTTAGCATCGAATTTTAATAAACCCTCCCCTTTTAAATCTCATATACCGTTTCTATGTTTCAATAATTTATCTGCACACCATTCAAGAGTCCCTCTGTGAGTTTCAAAATTTGATAAACAAAACTTAGCATATGTATGTGAAGGTCCATCTTTCCACATCTCTGAGGAAGGTATGCTATACATGCATTATACTTATTGCAAACTTTTACTGTTTATAAGAGAGTTTTTTTAATGAAAACCCTATGAGAGTCATGTTTCTAGCTGGAAAAGCATTAAACTAACAGTGGGGTGTTTGTTTGTTTTTTGCCATAAGAGGTTTTGTTTATATTTTTCAATTCAGTCTACTAACAGTTGATACAAATGAAAATATCCCCATGTTTGGACCCTGCCTTTCTTTTGAGGGAACCAACTAAGATATCATATCTTTCTTTAAAAAAAAAGTCACTGGATTGCAGTGACTGTATAATTACAGTATGCCATCTTCATTTGAGCATGTCTTAATTTGCAAGGCTATAGGTCAGTAACAACAACAACAATAATAATAATAATAAAGTTGGGAGGGACCTTGGAGGTCATCTAGTCCAACGCCCTGCTCAGGCAGGAAATCCTATACCATTTCAGACAAATGGCTGTCCAGTCTCTTCTTTAAAACTTCCAGTGTTGGAGCATTCACAACTTCTGGAGGCAGGTTGTTCCACTGGTTAATTGTTCTAACTGTCAGGAAATTTCTCCTTAGTTCTAGGTTGCTTCTCTCTTTGGTTAGTTTCCATCCGTTGCTTCTTGTCCCGCCTTCAAGTGCTTTGGAGAATAGCTTGACTCCCTCTTCTTTGTGGCAACCCGAGATATTGGAACACTGCTATCATGTCACCCGTCCTTCTCTTCATTAAACTAGACATATCCAATTATTCCAGCAAGTGTTCCTTATATGTTTTAGCCTCCAGTCCCCTAATCATCTTTGTTGCTCTTCTCTGTACTCTTTCTAGAGTCTCAACATCTTTTTTACATCATGGTGACCAAAACTGGATGCAGTATTCCAAGTGTGGCCTTACCAAGGCATTGTAAGATGGTATTAACAGTTCATGTGATTTTGATTCTATCCCTCTGTTAATGCAGCCCAGCACTGTGTTGGCTTTTTTGGCAGCTGCAGCATACTACTGGCTCATATTTAAGTGATTATCCACTAGGACTCTGAGATCTCTCTCACAGTTGCTACTATTGAGCAAGGTACCACCTATACTATACCTATGCATTTGGTATAGTATAGGTGGTACCTTGCTCAATACTATTTCCAAATTAAAACCACTGAAAGCAAAAACACCCATGTCCAGCCTTGAAATGAATGGGATCTGGAGAAAGTGACATTTGTGTCAACAGAATTCTTCAGCATGGACAGATAGCAAGATCCTTGCCTATAACCCCCTCATTTCTTCTTCATCTGCTCCTTGAGGAAAACCAATTACTGATGAACATCCAAATGGTGAAGATGTGGTCTCTATACCTCTGCCAGTTCCATCATGTTATAAATATAAATATCACTGAGCAATATGGTTTATTGTTTACCACTCCCATTTCCCCCAAAAAGTAAATCTAGTTACCTTAAGGATCTGCACGTAGGGGACTCCATCTGGACCAAAACTGCTGCCATTCACTTTGATGTGTTTAAGCCACTGTATGTGGGGTTGTGCATCACTGTATACCTTGCAAAAGAACTCTACATCACTCCCCATCACTGCTGTGGTATTGGCAGGCAACCCAGCTTGCAAGATAGGTCTGTGTGGAGACCTCTCTGTCAAGAAACAAACAGGAAAAATGTCCAGTTGCCCAGCACAGCTGAAGGGCACCGTATTTCTCAAGACAGGTTACTGCTGGAGTCTCCAATACATCAATCTCTGATTGTGATTCAGAACAGGCCAAAAGTACAAAGCAAAATCAACTAAGATACACCCATCCAATAGTAGCAGTTTGCAATCTTCTTAACACAGCACCACTAATGGTCTTGCCCCCAAACTTGGTGGAATCCTAATTTTTTCCCCACTATAGACCAGCAAAACTTGCTCTGCTTCTGATGTTACTTAATGCCACAGGAAGACTCCCAGCCAGGGCTGGCTCCAGAGACTCTGGGGCAATTAAGAGTAACCCCAGAGAAAGCTGATAATAAAGAATGTAGAGATAAGAAAGCAAATGCTTAAAGCTCTGCCTGATGATTCAGGCAGGGTTAATTAATTTCATCTGGCTTTGTGACCCAAGAGATCTTTGTCTTCCTTTGAAGCTGGCAGAGGATTTAGTTTTTGTTTTGTTTTTTCAATCTGGGGAGTCTGAGGTCAGGATGGTGCCTCTGCCTTCCTAAGAAAAATGGCAGGATGCCAACACCTGAATTTTGCTTCCCCCCCCCCCAATTCAGAAGCATCAATGAACACAGGAACTTCTGAAAATGGCGATGGGTCCATTTCATTTTCAGCTGTGCTCCATTTTATATCTTTGAATTGGTCTCCTTTATACAGAGTCTGAATATTCTTATGGCCAACATGTTTCCTTTGCTTTGTGTCTGCTTCTCAACTTGCCATTAAAGAATAGAATCCCATTCAAGGTTTGGGAAGGAAGACCTTCTCACCTAGCACATCCAGAAAGTAACTGTAGCGAATGCTGCCAAATTTATTCTCCACCAAGCATGTATAGTTGCCTCGATCAGAGGGTACCACGCTCTCCATGACCAAACTCCAGTGTTGATGCCTGAGCTGGGAATAGAAAAGATGAGGCAAGCTATCGTTTTCACTGGTGCATCCTTTGTTTTGCAGAGCTATCAATCTTTCCTGAGCATAACTCTAATAGAATCTCGTATTTCAGACATGGCTATTTCAGCTTGTGGCAAAGTTAGGAAATATAGATAGCCCTCAACCTACGACCACAATTCAGCCCAACACTTCTGTAGTTACGTGAAACATTTGTTATGTGAATTTTGCCCCATTTTACGATCTTTCTTGCTATAGTTGTTAAGTGAATCACTGCAGATGTTAAATTAGTAACCCTGTTGTTAAGTGAATCTGGCTTCCCCATTTGACTTTGCTTGTCAGATGGTTGCAAAAGGGGATCGTGTGACCCCAGGACATAGAAACCATCATAAATAATCAGTCATTTGGCAAGCATCTGAATTTTGATCATGTGACCATGGGAATGTTGCAACAGTCGTAAGTGTGAAAAATGGTCATAAATCACTTTTTTCAGTGCTGCTGTAACTTTGAATGGTCATTAAATGAACCACTGTAAATCAAGGACTACCTGTATTGTTCTGGGAGATTTAAGACAGGGAGAGTTAAAAAGGGATTAGGGTTACAGCTAGTATTTAAGGCTTTGGTAATTCTCTTTGTAGAGATGACATCTATTCCTACACACAAATGCTCATCCCACCCATGCAAAGGCCTAGGAATCTATCACTAAGATATACTTCTGCAAGGGGCTTTCATCATGAATAGTTTGGCTTCTTCTTCCTCCTCTATATTACATGTTTCTATAGTTCTCTCCACCCAAAGCCCTAAGTCATAAAACCTTGTGGGCCAACCAAGCAAATGGAAGGAGAAGGAAGTGGGGAGAGGAAAGAACAATCCAACACATTTAAGTCTTACCCGAATTCCTCCAATACGGTGCTCCCCACGGAATTCCCGCCCATTCTTCAGCCAGCGGATAGATGGGGTGGGATTTCCTGAAGCTGGGCAGCGGAACTTGACTGTATTTCCTGCTGGGACTGCATGCAGCTTCTTGTCCATTCGATGAGGGTGTGTCCAATAGGGTGCTAAAAAAAATGTGACATGACCCATTCAGATTTTAGTGAAGGCTTCAGAAGTGTTGTGTTCTTGGGAACCAAATTGGATTTTGTGCTACAAGTGAGGCAGGGAGAGGATGAGCCTTGAACTGGCTTCCAAGAAAACAACAACAACAACAATACAAGGAACAGAAAATGTTACACAGATACTCAACAGTGTGCCAGAATGAATGACAGCACTGCATTCATTCTGCCAGGATTACACAACATTCTGAAAGGCATCAGTGGCAGGCCATGTCGTGCACCATCCTTGGTAGCAGAGTGATGGTAATAGCTGTCCCACACTTTTGGGTTCCTTGAGGTTTTTGCAACTGAGGGAAGATATCTGGCTATAGTACTCCGTGTCTTTGCTCCTAAAAGGTAACAGTCCACAAGATTAAGGATAATGACCCCAATACTAACCTAGATGGGCCTGTGCAGGCTCCTCATTAGAATCAATGTGAGCATTCTCCACATCACTGTCTTCATCATCATCCCCTGAAGCCAATGAATCTAAAATCAAAATGAGCAGAGGTGACACTTTGTACTAAAACACCCCCAAGTAATTGTGGGACAGTGGACAGATGCCACATATTAAGGGGTGGGGTTGTTTTTTTTTACTGTTGTGCCAGCACGTTTTGAGGAGAAGAAGCAAAATGTTAGGTAGATGTAGGGAAGGGCAGTTACAAAGGGCAAATAAAAAGAGTTGGCACTGCAGTGTTAGATTTGTAACCATGAGTTACATTGTAGATGTTGTTTTGCATAGGAAGCTCCACCTTATAGCCATCCTTGTGTTTTGGAAGATGTCTTCTAAAGGCCTAGAACTAATGTGTGTTGTGAAGACCCTGTTACATTTTCTTTAGTTATGGTTGTTTCCTAATCTGAGTGGTTATTATTTTCTTATTGTGTTTTTAATTGTGCAGTTCAATATTGTAAGCTGTCCAGAGTAGGCAGCCGCAACAAATTTAATAAATAAATATGTACAATCTGAGACACTATGGTTGTTAAATGGTATAATGCGGGCATGTCAAACTTGCGAAGTCACGTGATGTCGCATGATGTATCATGACTTTTTCCCCATTGCCGGCAATGGGGTGGGCATGTTTTCAGCGTGACGCATCTGGCCTGCGGGCTGGCAATTTGACATGCCTGGTATAATGTGTCACAGTGCACAAACTCAACCTCTGAGCATCTTGGCTCTGGTCTAAAATCATACCATGTATGCTGATAATAACCTGAACTCAGTGGACTGTGTGATCTGATTCAGCAAACATCAAGCTGCTTCCTGCGTTTCTTTGAAAATATTAAATCTCTTCAGATACTTTGAAACCAGTTAGAGCACTGCAATCCTGCCTAGTCTTATGCTCTTACCTACAACAGAGATAGTAAAATTACGCAGGCTTTCTCCAGTATTCCAAGCATGGCATGAGTATAATCCTGAATCTTCATAGGTGGCTTCAGGGATCTCCAGCAAATTTTGCTGAATGTGGATGCGCTCACTAGGGAAAAGTTGCTTATCTTCCTTATACCATGTGATAGCAAGAGTGTGATTGGTGCTGCAATAGAGCTTCAGCTGGCTCCCTGGATCCAAAACCAGATGCTCCTCTTCTGTCTCAAGCATGTGGCTGTCAAATATCTCTGTCCAATATAAAGAAGGACCAATCAGTGCAAATGATAAGTTTTTCCTGCTCTACTGCCATCTTGCAAATACTGTACTATGAGCAATGTAATGAGCCATTAACAAACTCTACAAAGCAAAGCTACTTCTATCCCAGCATCCAAATCTTACATCTCTAGTATATTAAAGCACAATGGTAGCATAGCAGGATTTTCCATTATATATTGCCAGACTTCTTCAAGCAGGTATCCTTCAGATCTGATTAACCTGACTACTGTTCTCATAACAATCTTCAAATAGTGCAACCAAAAGCTCAAGATGGAAATTTGAATTGCTACAGTCTCAACATACCAGGCAAGCTGCAGGCTGGAGAAATTCAGCTTAAGTACTCACTTTCGTTATTTCACCAATTCCAAAACCTTACTTTAGGAGAGTGGGAAGATCTTAAGTATAGCTGCGCTTAAACAGCAGCTTATAAATATGTCTTTGTCCAGATTTAACTTGGTACAGAAAAAAGTTTTAACTGATTGTATTAGTGTGCCATGCTTTCCAGACACAACTTAACTGGGATTTATTCAAGTGCTGTCAGAATATTCTGAACCATGAACTAACAACATGAGCTGGGTACACACAGCATCCTAAGTTAAAATGCAGTTAGCTTTATTACTAGGTACGTTATAAAAGTCCCCCACCCCAGGTGGGGATCTTGCTAATGCCAGCACTCCGGGTGAAACTGATCAACAGAGTAAGATTTTGTTCTGGAACAGAGAAGTGACAATTTGATCAGGGAGGATAGTCCAATCTGGAAAGCTGCCCAATATATCACTCCTGAACCTGATAGCAAAACTGTTTCACAATTTAGGCTCTGATACCTGCTGCCTTCAGATTCCTGTCTTCTGTGCTGCAGAATAATCTGATGCATGTTTGAAAATAAGCAGAGTGAAAATATTTCAAAAGTAGCAAGTGATGTCAATCTACTATTTTCAATTCATGCAAACCTTTCACCTTCTGAAGTCCATAAAGTTCAGACTAGAAGTACAAAATATATTATGCAACTAAGCAGTGTTTCTCAACCTTGACAATGCTGGCTGTGGAATTCTGGGAGTTGAAGTCCACATGCCTTAAAATTGTCAAGGTTGAGAAACACTGCACTAGAGAGACCTGCTCATACCTTCTATTTATTTTTTTCCCCTTCTTTTTAAAATGGGTATAAGATATATTTGGTACCTTAGGGTGTAACAGCTCAAACTTAACACGTATTTCTAAGTATTGTTTTAATAAAAGTATTAATCTGACAATGTTGTTTACATGCTAAATGTCATACATATTTTGCATTCTTACATTCCATTTTTCTTCAGAATCTTCTGTTCAAATATGTTCCCACCCAAGCGCTTAAACATTTTTGAGAATCTTGCATTTTTAAAATTAATTCAGAGCATTTATAACAGATCTGGAAGATAAAGTTTGGGATGTGGGGAGCAGACTCACATGCAAGATATTCAGGAATCTTCTACAGTTACTCTAATTTTAGAGGAAAGTACTCAATTTCTGGCTTGCTCTCCAGGGTAAAACTAGCCAAAATGTTAGGTTACATTGGGAAAAAATGTCTCTTCTCTTTTGACTATGAATTAAGCACACAAGCCTGTGATTGTGCACAGATTCTGCAAATCTGTCATTTGAAAGGAGAAAGCAGTATCAGATAAGCACATATACAAGCTGAAGGCTTACTGGGTGTTTTACTGTTGTTGCTTTTTATGCATATAGGCTAAATAGGAGTTTAAAGTAATCAAGTTGTGGAAGAGTGTTGCTCAATTCCACTCCTTCCACCTTGGGATTCTCCAAATCCTGTCCATAATCCCTTTTGTTCTGCATTCCCTCCCTTGTCCCCACAATGATGTCATCAAAGCCCCTTTCCTGCCAGTCCCAGGCTGGAGAAAGGATCCCAGGAACACTGAAGCATGACTTTCAGGCTCAAATCCCCCCCTCCCCAATTCTCTCTGTGGGAGCTCTCAATTGAGTGATCAGTCCCTGAGCGCAAGGTGACTGTTTTGACAGATTCCAAAATGAACATGTCAGGAAACCCACGACCACTGCCCCTTCCCCCCGTTGTTCTGGCCCCACAGCTCCTTTCCCGTGCTCCCCTTGCCCCAGCTCACAATAGGGGCCAGCCCCTTTTCAGCCAAGGACTCTGGCTCTCTTCTCAGCTCTTCCTCTGCTTCTGCAGCCCAGGATGGGGTGGGGTGGGGAGAAGAAATGGGACAGAAAGCCTTCACCATTACCCCTAGTTGGGCACATGCATGCCTGTAAGTCACAAGGAGGCAAACTGCTTTGAATCTGCAACTTTGTCCCCAGCTGCACCCATCCCCTCCTGGCCCCTCCCTTCCTCTTTAGCTCCCTCCCACACAGCTTTCCCTCCTTTCCTCCGTGGCATGAGCGGGGAGTGAGAGGTTTCACACTCAGTTGACTCCACAGCTTCCCGCCTCCCTGTTTGTCTAACCTGGATTTGAACTATAATTGCTTTGGTGACCCATCCTCCTCCAACATTAGCTCCAATTGTAGGAGCACTGCCAGCAGCCCCTTCCACCAACTCATTCTTGAAGCAAGTCTGCTGTCCCTCAAAGAAACCTGGTTAATGCCAACCCACTTAGCTGATAACGCTCCCCTCTTTTTCTGAGAGGACTGAGCTCTAGGTGTGACCCACCTCTTTGGGGCCACAAAGCAATGTGTCCCAGCCTGCTCCACCAGCAGCTGCTGCTGAAACCGCTGTTTCCCATTCTAGGTAGCCCACTGGTTCCCTCCCCTCCTACTAAGCTGCCAAGTAAGAGGAATTCCTGCAAATGGTGTGACTTGCAGGAATGTCCAGTTCATCCTCTCTCCTACCTGAACTTCAGGACGAGCAGCCCCAAGATTTTTGCTGCCTGAGGCAGAATGGCCACTGGGGCCTTCTGCTCCATTGCAAAGGGTAAAGTGGTCTATATTAAATCAGTGCATGAGATCAAAAGCCTTACAAACTGGGAATAAGAATTAACAACAGAATTCAATCATCAATGATTTGCTTCACATTCATTAGATAGATACTCCGTGTTAAAGTCTAAGGCATTTTTATTAAGTTAAGATGAATGTGAATTAATTCCCAATGAAATAGCATGCCTGTATAGATCAACTACTGGCCTTCATCCTCAACGTAGGTATCTGGTCTTGTGCAGAGGGGAATATTCCCTTGCAGCTGTTCTCTACTAAAAAAAAAATCATTTAATGTAATTGCTGAGGTAATTAAGTTAACTGCTATAAATATTCCTTCCGGCTGAGAAAACCATTCTGATTGGAAAGGAAGAAAAGTCCTCCCTTTAGAAGAACATGATGAAGACAGCTTGATAAGGAGCCTCAGTGGCCAATTCACAGCAAGCAGTGACTGTCCAGAGAGAGATTTCAGATGTTGGAAAACACTGTACAAAATTATGTAATTTGGACCTTGAACAAATCTAGAAAAGTACAGTTGAAGACTGTTCTCAAGTTGCCCTTCTTTGTAAACTCATTTCCCAATTCCTAACTGACAATTTCAGATTGGGTTTATTATGTTTAAGATCTTTCCAAGTAATTCAAAATCCTTCTACTGAGCAAGAAAATAATTTGAAACTAATCTGAAATCTGGTAATGCTGACAACTCTTAATAATGTCAAAGATGTCCTGTCATTTTGCCACCTAAGCAATGGACTTTGACAAGTGGAATCTGTGCTAAACAAATATCTGGCACCTTCTACTTGGGAATAAAGTTTACATTCACTGTGAGACAACCCACTGAATTTGTCATCAGGTTCTCACAAAGATTATTTTATTCTTATGCACAAGCAGCATTGATTACACAACTAAATTATTTCATTAAACAAGATTATATAGGCGGAAGCTCCAGACTTTACTTGTATTCTCTTGATCTTTTCCCTCATGGTTGCTTATCGTGCCAAGCTCAGAAGAGATAGCAGAGAACAAACTCTATATCAACCATTACATTACTTCCTCAGTCCATTAATACTGATTGCTGGATAGCAGCAAAGCTCAATGACCAGCATGATGGGACAGTAGGCTCAGAGGCACCCAGGCAGCTGGTTGGCACAAATAACAATTATCCCATCTGTTTCATGGATGGGCCAGTCAAGGAAGAAGTATCTTTTCTCAAGCATGAGTGGAAGTGCCAAGCACCTGGCAGGGCAATTTACTCTTATTCCACTAGGGAATCCCAGAAATGCAAACTTAAATGAATTAGATTATTCAGTGAGGTCAGTAAGACAATTTGCAAGGATGCTAGTTACTTATTGTAGAAACAACTCCAAAAATGTCAAACTATTACAATATATAAACATATACATACACACAGGACAGACAGATAGATAGATATAGGTACAGAGAAAGAGCTATAGATATAGAGATACAGATATAGACATATATGAGATACATGGGACACATTTTTAAATGTATCTGCATAGGTTTCAGCCCCATACCATTGGTCCACAACCAAACTTACAATACACATTTCAATAAATATTACATTGATTGATATGATAGCAGTCCTGTAATGTTGCAATGTGATGCTTCTTCAGAGAGATTTACATCTTTCCAAGTGATTCAGGTGTGCTTAGTTCTATCCTACATTACACATAATTAAAAAATATAGCTCTTTTATAGTCAAGAATTAAGATAATTAAGAGGCAAAGTGAGAACTTGATGAAAAGATAATTATCCCTATTGTAAAATGGGAAAGATTAACAAAATCTTCATGACAAAGAAGCAGAAATTTGACACTATCAAGATCTTTCTTGTGAACAAAATTACTTTAGCACAGTACTTAAAGAGATACAATTGTATGCTGACTGCAGAAAATCTGCCTGTAAATTTTACACTTGGCAGTCAGAATTAGGAATTTCCTATGTGCAGAAAATAGCTTTGTGATTCTTAAATTCCAGGGAATAGGAACCCTTTAGGTTTATGGCATCTTATTTTTCCTTTTTTTTTACTAGAAGTTGAGATCTACCAGATGGAAAGTAATGTTTTATAGAGAGTGAGTGAAGAACATCTTTTTGAAATATACAGTAGGAATGTCATGCTTCAAAGCAATTTGCTTTTAGTATGACATTATACCTTAGTTATGCAGAAATACACTCCATCTTTTTTCTTTTGAATTTTCTTTCATTTTAATAGGCTTTTTAGATTAGAAGATGGGAGTCAATGACCTCTGGAAAGTCTAATCACTCAAAGTTTATAAACAGATAAGTTTATATTTTATCTTTCCTTAAAGGACAAAAGGAGTATACATAGCATTTGCTATGACAATTTTTCTGCACAACAACCTTGCCAGGTAGGTAGGGCTAAGAGATAGCAACTGGTTTAACTTGCTCAGTACTTCCATGCCTTGGGGACGTGTGCTCAAATTTTCATCTCCCTGGTCCTGTAGTCCAACTCTTTACTTAGCTGCTACAACGCGTTGGTTATTTATATTCCAAAAAGCTTTTATTGTACAAAATATTCAGAACTAACCTTGGTTAGACAAAGAATTGGTCTTGGATCTTAGAGATTTCCATTTCTTGCCACTGACTCCACCACATGTCTTTGACAAACTGTGTTAGTGATAACTTACTGCTTTCCATTATATATTTTTCTTCAATAAAATCTTCACTAAAGTACGAGTGATTAAAAGTCAGCAGCAATACTCTGCTGCTGTCCACTAGTTTGGAGAACAAATCTGAAATGCCTCATAACTTGCCAAGAAGATTGAGGCTTGTAAGGCAAAATCCTCAACAGATCAGTGTCTTCTTTTATCACAGAAAATATCTTAATACCATTTTTCATATTCAGACACACTTCTCCTAATTCTATCAGTAGCAATAATTCCCAGTAAAACTCACCTGGATCCCTGGTTCTTTCTGTGGAAGCAGATATCCAAGCAGATATAGTTGCTACCACCAGAAGCTTAAGAAGATTACACCACAGGGCCGTCATCCTGTTACCTTCTTCACTTTGGCTCCCAGTTAGAAACTCAAATGCTTAATTAAAAGAGAAAAAAATGAAAGTCACTCTTTTGTCCTCTAACACATGATCAGTATGTATCTGTAACTATCCAGGATTCCCTCCAAAAAATGTTTGGGGTCAGTGTACAGGTACAATTATTAGAGCTTTAGACCCTGCAAGTATTATTTAACACTATCTCAAAAGAAATGGCAGGGAATGGAATACATCCACTTGCCAATCCAAATGTTCAAACATTCTCAACACTAGATGTAAACAACCCATTTGTGAAATGCTATAAAAGAAGTGAAATAATTTTTACTTCCAAATGGTCTATAGCTTATTACAATTTTGAAATATAGTACTCCCTCTGAAAGTTCCCAGCAATCCTGTCCTCACCGTACAATTATCTATGCTTAACTGAACCTTGGTTAATGCAATTAATCCATTACTTTAGATAATTATCTGACACAACAACCATAAAGTAATCAGGCTGGCTTCACCTACCCGTTGTAAACTAACGCAGGGGGGAGGGGTGTAGTTTGTTTACAGTTCAGCCTGCTTTGCAAAGACAGTCAACACAAGGTTTAAGGTGTCATTCCAAGCTGCAGTTTTTTGAGCTCAAAGTTCAAGAGACAAACTTAAGAGCTTCTATTTGACAAAGGAATCAGTCCATAAGATCACCACTGGCAATCATCCTGCAACACATTAAATAAATCCATCTGTAATTCCCCTCTTTCGCACGTCTCCACGATACATCATTTTCACGTAGCTCTCCGGAACTTGGGATGAACAAATCTGGGGAAACTGCTTTGGCCCATGCCATTAAAAGAAAAGGTGGGCTCCGTACATTACATTCAGACAATGTTGGGGGGGGGGGTAAATGGAAGAAACAAAGGTGAAGTTTCATCCTAGTACAAGGACTTAAACTACTTATCCAAAGAAAGCACACGTGTGCATTCGCAGAACAGCTTCCCCCCCCACCGCGCGCGCTCCAATAATGCAGGTTTACTTCCATTGAAAGGAATGGATTTAAGTGCCATGTAAGGACCCCCAGCCCCTTTTCGCTTAAATGCGGTTTGGGGTTGTGTTTGTGAGAAAGTTGCGCCTAGCTAGCCGCAGGTGAAGGGGACGTTTAGAGTGGAACGGTGCGGATCTGCCTTGCCACATCCCCGCGGCGCGGGTGGGCACGATGCATGTTCGCAGCGCATGGCGTGGAAGAAGTTGCGCTTCAGGATGTACTCCCGAGAACAGCTTAATTTTTAAACCGACCCCCCCCCAAAAAAAGTTTCTGCGCAGCCGGACGGTTTAGTAACAGATTTACAGACCCTCCCGGTCCAAGTCGCCCCGGAAGGTCTCCGGGTTCCCGTGGGCAAGATCTCGGAATTCGGCGCCTGCCTCTCGCCCCGCTGCCCGCTTTTCGTTGAGAAGAGCGCCGACCTTCTCCTTGGGAGCCATTCCCATCCCCGGTGCCTCAAGGCAAGCGAGGCAACCAACCCGGGACCCACCTTTCCTCCTCCTGCCGGCTTAGAGCTGTTCCACTACTCCGTTTTCCCGGGCTCCGCTCCTCGGAGGGTAGGAAGAAAAGGATGCGCCAGGGTCCCGGTTGTTGGCCGCGGCGCTCCGTCCCGCGCAAAGCATAAATCCGGCAAGGCGCCGCCGCCGCCAACAACAACAACTTTCAGCGTTCTTCTCTGGATCTTCCCGAGCAGCCAGAAGCGAAAAAACGCGGCCGCGTCCAGAGCCGCATTCCAGTTCGCGAGCTTTCTGTCGGCTTCGGCAATAGGCGCTGGGACTTTGTAGCGAAAGCTCTCAAGTTACACCCCCGCGAAGCGCACAGCCGGCCCGCTCCGAGCCAACAATGGGCCGCGAAAAGAGCCAGGCCGGAGGGGGAGGATCAGAGGGGCCTGCCCCGCCCCCGCCCATTCCCCTCCTTCTGCCGCTTCCCCCGCCCGCGCCGGGGCCTTTTTACACTCACATTAGCTAAATTCTCTCCCCCAAAACCTCGGCAAAGGGGATTAAGCAGAGTTCAATCTCCCCAGCCTTTTGCTTCCTCTCTGCTTATAATGGTAACTAGAGATACGACTCATTAAACTTCGGCTCAAGGGAAACTCTTCATCCGAAAACAAAAAAGTGGGCTGCTAGTGGTGGGGAATTAAAAGCCCGCGGAAAGAGAAAGAGGAGCAATACTTTAATCCAAATTATGCAGACATTTAATTTATTTGGATACATCTGGAAAAAATGAATATTCATTTTAAAAAGGCATGATCTTGCACCTGTGGACCCCACTGCTGCATGAAGTGCTTCAGATAAAGGGGAAAAAAATTATCTTGCTTCCTTATTCTTTAGGGATATCAATTTCTAGGGTCCAATAAGCAAACTTTATCTTAATAATAGGTGATTTGGGAAATAACTTGATCCACCAGTCTGTGCAATCTGACTGAGATGTCTAAATGTTATTCCAGGAAAAAATGACAAGAAATTGGGTCTGCATCACACTCAGAGGACTTGTTACAGAACATGTATCAATAAATGTGGCCCCAAAATCATTATGGGAATTTAAGGGTCACTCCAGTGCCTGGGATTAGTAGGATTTTATAATGTTAGTCTTTCTGCAAGATTTCTTCTACTCCTCCCAGTTTTCATCCTCCTCCAGTTAGCACTGGTGGGAAATATAATCTAACCCAGTGGTTCTTAACCTTTTCAAACAAATCGCCCCCTTGAGCCAATGAGGAAGTTGTTATCGCCCCCCTCCCCCAATATAACCTCTCAATCACAACATAGAAATAATTCTTCAATTTATGCAAACACTTTTTTTTGTTTTCTTTAAAATTGTCATCAAGACATATCGCTGCAAATAGTTTATTTCCAGTCTTTTTCCCATATCTCAACTGTGTGAAAAATTTTGATGCCACCCGGCACTTTATTCCCAAACTTCGTGATACATGTATTTCATTATTATCTTATTTATTCAAAACACTTAAATGTAATGACCACTGAAAACAAAATTCAATTGCAAGAAAGTGAAATGCCCAAAAAGAAAAACAGTAACATTTAATGATTGAATTACAAGTGAAATTTAAGACACAAAAAGAAATATAAAAAGGGCATAAGAACAAACCGCAATGCAGGAACTAAGAATTTCAAGACGAAAACTCTGAAACTAAATTAAGATTTGAGGAAAGTATATACTGTATAGTCAACACACTGTAAAAAGGATTAAAAAGACACAAAGAAAATATAATATCAAACTGGAGTGCACACTAAAAAAGTACAATACAAAGAGACACACGAAATGTTTTACAGAGCACAACAAAAATTCAAAAATGAAGCTGAAAACTCAAACTGACGTCAACATTACAGCTGACGTCACAGGGGACAGCCACTCAGCATGCGATGTTTCGAAAGAAGCACTCCCCCCTCCATCACTGCCCATTCTGGCCAATGGCACGCCACTGTATGGGTAGAGGCTGCTGCACAACGCGCATGAAGATAAGCGATGTGTATTCACATATGTACGGCTTTCTGTACTGAAGCCAGCTGGAGGAACATTTGAAAACACAATTCAATCCACTAATAGCGAGCGATCTGATGTTTTTGTACGACAGATATACAGCGATTCACTGTACGAAAAAGTCTCAAAAGTGTCCCTAAAACTTCTCGCTCCATCACCCCCATATTGCCCCCTTTTCGTTCCATTGCCCCCCTGAAAAATGAAATCGCCCCCCGGGGGGCAATATCGCCCAGGTTAAGAACCACTGATCTAACCTACTGTTTCTCTATTGCAACAACTTTTAAAATGTGTGGACTCCAGAGTTAGAGTCCATATATTTTAAAGTACCGGTAGCTGAGATTGAGAAACTCTGCTCAAACACATCTGGGGAAGATTGTGGAATTGGGGGAGGCAGTCTAGATTATACAAGATAAGAGCTGGGAGAGAAAAGGATGGTAAGGAAGTAGGTAGAATGTAAGGCAAATGTGTGAAAGAAGCTTTCTGGGATTTGTGTGTGCGTGTGTCTCAGCATTTTCAAGATGATGTTCTAGTAAGGTAAATTATAAGATATGCAACTGAGATAAAATCTCTCACAACAGAATATATTTTAGTTTTCCATCTCCCTCCCAGCTTTTAAAAATTGCATAAAAAATGTAATTAATATTATCTGTGAAAGATTACCATATATACTGTATATTTTTCAATGTTTTTTTAATGAACATGCTTTATCCATATGCGCACAACATACCTGAGTGCTGAGGTTCACACCCTCTCCAACTATCAAAGTAGGAGAGAACATTTAGAGAATCCCTGGAACTTTGGATTCTTTTTACTGGGAAACCTCTCTGGAAATATTTTCTTCTGCCTGTAGGCATGTCCCCTGAACCTTCCCCCCTCTCCCCCTCCCCCGCCACCATTGTTCCTAATCAGTATGGCCAGTTCTGGCAACTGGGAAAAGAGAGTTTAGGAAAGTGGCTAGGAGAGTCAGATGTAAGCTTGCTGAAGGAGATAGTGAGATAATGGCAATGGTCATTCCTCCCTATTCTGCAAGCTTAAAAAAACCAAGAACAATAGCAAAGGTTTTCCCTCAGGCTCTGTCACACCCAACAATCTTTGAAGGAGCCAAACTGTCTGCGCACTTATCAGGATGAGTGGAAGGTTATCCACATTGGCCTCATCTCCCTTCCCACACCATCCAGCAACAAGCCTTTCATTTTAATGCTCCATGCAATATTTTCCTCTGCAAGACGGAACGGATTGGTTCAACCTTGGGAAGAAAACATGTTGGCCATGACAATGGCTGATCTTTCCAAGCTATCTACTAGAGATATCTTCTTGGGTCTCTTTCTAATATGCTCTGGGCTACTTTGGTATATTAGCCATGATCTCATGGCCTTGCATGAACAGAGGTGGATGCAATCAAGACTGGAACAATCAAGAAGGGATGGTGAACCAGGAAGGGCAAAAAAAAAAATCTACACAGAGGCTCCAAAAAGGGCTAATTAATGGACAGCAGCTACCTCCCAAGCCATTTTTTTCCATGCTGAATGGGGCTATTGAAACTCCTGGTTAAAACCTCCTCGTTCAAATGAAAGTGCATCCAAACAAACTCACATTCCAAAGCAAGCACAGCCTCACCCCTCCACCAAGCTAGAGTCTCCTCAATGGAGTATCTTCCTTTCAGATAAAACTCTCCATATCAATAGGCTCCCAGAATGGGGGATTAGGTTTGGCTCTGTCTCCAGGTAACTGTAGGTCTTTGGGTTTTCTCTGTTCATACCCTGTTTTTCTCCTTCTAGAGCTGCAGGACCCTCTTCTCTCTACTAAGGCATATCTCATCTTGTTTTTCTCCTTTGTAGACTTAGAAGTTAAAATAAGCAGAGCTGGGCCTGGTAAATATTACAATCAGAGAGCTCCAGTGAATGAAAATTTCCAGATCAGATTGGGAAGATGAAAAGCAAAGATGGGACCCAGTGTGATATGGTGGTTAAGATATTGGACTAACACCAGCCACACCCAAGTTCTGCTCCATCTTCGCCAACAAAACTCATTAGGTGATTTTGGACCAGTCACTCAATCTCTCTCTCTCTCTCTCTCTCTCTCTCTCTCTCTCTCTCTCTCTCTCTCTCTCTCTCTGCTCAACCAGCTCAGGAAGTGTTAGCTGTGGAGAATAGGAGGAGGAGGGAGTGCAATCTCAACTGAACGAAAGGCGGGAAATAAAAATTAACAAAATGTGTAGACATACAACCTGGAAGAAGAAGGCAATGGCAAACCATTAGCCTTGCCAAGAAAACAACAGTAAGTCCCTTAAATTACCAGGAATCAAGCTTGCCTCAAGGATGAGCTTGAGTGATACTTTTAACTCAGTGGTTCTCAACCTTTTTAATGCCGCGACCCCCAACTGGTCGTAAGTCGAGGACTACTCAACCAGTCTTAAGTCGAGGACTACTCAACTGGTGCAGCACCGTTTGCAGAATGGGACTTTTGGCGGGCTCAGCAGGGCAGAGACAGCCTGGACAATTCCTATTGGCTTTTGAAAGCCAATAGAATTAGACTCTATTCAAGAGAGTCTATTCTATTGGCTTTCAAAAGCCAATAGAATAAAAGGGAGTAGCACAGCTAAGGAAAAGGGGGAAAAAATGGCGGACTGCGTTGTTTGGCGACCCCCGTGAAATGATCATTCGACCCCAAATGGGGTCCCGACCCACAGGTTGAGAACCACTGTTTTAACTGAAAAGAGTAGGGAAGAAGCAGGGAGAAGGAATTTTTTTCCCCCTTTCTGCTTTTTCATACACTCCTAAACTCTCAGATAATATTTAGATGATGCTAAGGAAAGAGCATATGTATTAATAGAAGGTGTATTCTGAGTGTGTATTAGCACGAAACACACAGATTTAATAAAGTCTCAGTTCACCAGCAGGTTGCTACTGTCATTTTGACATAGCACGTTTGGGGTGAAACGGATGCCCTGGAACAGAAAAGGCCACTGTGTTTTTCATCATATATACCCTGCATTGGCAACTTTGCATGTGAGGCTCTTACTACAGTACTTGCAACTTCCAGGTTGCCATCCATTCCTCCCTTCTTTCACCAATAAATAAAGAAGAACAAATTAAGGGTGTAGATTAAAGAATGCTAAACTTTGGACCAGTTTGTAGATAAGCACTATATTTGTAATGATATTTTTTTAAGGATGGGGACAAGTTCTGCCCCTTTGCTTGTATTTCCCTAGTGCAGGGTTAGCAACCTTGGCTCTTTTATGACTCGTGGCTGGCTCAGCTATTCTGGGAGTTGAAGTCCACGAGTTATAAAAGAGCCAAGGTTGCCTACCTCTGCCCTAGCGCATGTATTCGTGCTATT